GGGTGTTTTTTTTTCTGGAAAATATATTGTTTAAATGCCTCCATGTTCTCTTGCTTTTCACTAAGTCAGCAAATACCCCTGCACTAGGGCTGGTTGTAGTGGTTTTGAGTCTAGGCCTTCCTTGGTGACCAGGTTGTAACCAAGGAATCAAGGCCATGTTCCCAGTATTCCATACGATTTTTATGTAAGCAAGAGTATAAATAAAAGAGAGGAAGCTCTCACTCTCTTTCTTCTGGCAGACTGAAGGCAAAGGTTCTTTGCTGTCATTTTGCCCGGGTAAAGGAGTGAGGCCTAGTGCGCCTGATTGGCCTTGAGAAGCAGATAGTGTCAGTGGTTTTCTGCTATCTTGAGGGAAGTATTTGCTTTTTATCCCTTTTTCCCTTTTTTCCCTTTCCCTTTCTTTTTCCCTTTTGGGGGTTCCCTGTGGGTGATATTTTGTATATAATTATATATATATATATATATATAAATGTGTGTTACTTGGAATTCGGTTTGGTTTGGGTTCTTTTGATTTTTGCGTGGTCTTTTTTCGGTCTGTCTGAGAGAGGGAGAGGGAGGGGGAAGGGCTTTTCCCCTGTGGTCCGGGCACTTGGCTGGGAGCCAAGTCCAACCTGGGACACTGGTGATATAAAAAGTTTATACCTGTCATGGTATTTCATGAGAGAAATGTGATTTAAGAGAGCTCAGGTGACTGACAAGGAAATATTTATTTAACCTGAAAATGTCTCAGCAGCTGACATAGTTTAACACACATCAACCAACCAGGGTCTTTATGTTATTCCAGTTAAAGTGTGTAAATTATTAAAGAAAGGGTTGTAAAAAGAAGTTAAATATGTCAGATGTGATTATTTTACGACTTACATTACTTAAAGTACAGTGCCCTTATACTTGCATTGTCTTCATGGGGAGTTTTGGCAAAAAGTGGCGTAATCAAACGAGAGTTCATCTAAATATCTTGAACTGGGCCAGGAGTCATGGCAGCCACCTCCACACGAACAAAAGCAGCTCTTAGGGAGCATGAGCAACCAGGATGGGCAAACTGTGCAGTGTGGCAGTTTGCACATCAGGGAACGCAGGAAAAGAGCAGCCAGGAAACCAGCTCAAGAGGTGAGTTCAATTGGTTGTCATCACCCTCTCAGAAGGAGCTCAGAAATGGTATTCACTCAGCCAAGTCATGACACTTTCAATCATTTATCATCAATCCTGGCTAACCAGGGAGGTGCCAGTTGACTGGAGGCTATCCAATCTGACGCACATCTACAAGAATGGGAGGAAGGAGATCTGGTGAATTACAGGCCTGTCAGTCTGACTTTGGTGCTGGGGAAGGTCACGGAGCAGATCATCTTGAGTGCCATCAAATGGCATGTGCAGGATAAGCAGGGGATCAGGCCCAGACAGCATGGATTTAGGAAAGGCAGGTCCTGCTTGACTAACTTGAACTTTTTCTATGACAAGGTGACCCACCTAGAGCATGAGGGAAAAGCTGTGGATGTGTCTACATGGACTTTAGTAAAGCCTTTGACAGTGTCTCCCACAGCATTCTCCTGGAAAAGCTGCAGCCCATGGCTTGGATGGGTGCACTCTATGCTGGGTTAAGAACTGGCTGGATGGTTGGACCCAGAGAGTGCTGGGGAATGGTGCTGCATACAGCTTGTAGGAACAAGTTAAGCCAGCAGCACCTGTATTCAGTTAATTCGAATCAAAAGGGAGTGTTTCAGCCTTGGAGCTGAAAAGGAAAAAAACCCCTATGTGACCCCGACCGTAATAAAAGTGTGCTTTAAATATTGTTTAAGGATTTCTTTGAATCACAGGGCCCTATCACATGTGACGGTGACTTGGGAAGACAAACATCAGCACTCCAAACATCCCCCCCCTTCCTTCTTCTTCCCTCCACTTTATATACTGAGCATGATGTCACGTGGTCAGGAATATCCCTTGGGTCAGTTGGGGTCACCTGTCCTGGCTGTGTCCCCTCCCAACCTCCCACGCACCCCCAGCCCTCTCCCCAATGGGGCCATAGGAGCAGCAGAAAAGGCCTTGACTCTGTGTAAGCCCTGCTGAGCAATAGCAAACAGATCTCTGTATTATCAACCCTATGTTCAGCACAAACCCAAACACAGCCCCACACCAGCCACTGGGTAGGAAATTAACTCTACTCCAGCCAAAACCAGCACAGTATTACAGTGCTTTAATGTAACTTTGATTATAAATATACTTGCTGCAGATTTCACAGCTGGTCATTTTTCTGCTTCCATTAGACTACTTTCCTATTCCTTTATGATACATTAAGACAGAATAACTCTGATTACTGGAAAAATACCTGTTTGAGAATTACAATGAATAATAATGCTAATTATGGTAAATCATATGAGATCTAAATCCTATGCTTAGAAATTATTTATAATGGTAGGCTTTATTTTATTGAAAGATTTGCATTCAAAACGTTCTAAATAGCCTATGACAACCATTCTGCCTGGTAAGATGTATAAGAATTACAGAATAAATTTTGAAAGAAAGGTGCATTTCAATCAGGCTTTCTGTTTCGCTTTGATACTTGATTTGATCTCTTGTGATAGAATTGTCCCCCTTTACTTCATTGGTAATGAGATGGTTTTACTCTAGGCCTTCCTGGTAACCAGCTTGTAACCAAGGAAGTGGTCATATTCCCAGTATTCCATACGATTTTTACGTAAACCAGGGTATAAATAAGATGGAGATTAGAGACCTCACTCTCTTCTCTTCCAGTGAGGTTCGAGAGCAGTGGGTCCTTGCGTTGGTCTTGCTTATCTAGAGGCTGAGACCTGCAGCAACTGTTGGTCTGCCACGTGGGAGGTTGGAGAATGCTGGCCGTGTCTGGTGATCTTGTTTTTTCTGAGGGACATGGTGAGATTTTGTTTTGCTAGTTCTTGGGTTTGATTGTGCATATCTGTTCTGGTTTTGTCCCTTTTTGTCCCTTTTTACCCTTTTCCTTTCCCTTTGGGGGTGTTTAGAGCCCCTTTGCTGTGTACATAGTATTTTAATTTTAATATAACTGTAATATATGTAAACAAATACATATTTATATAATTAGATTGATTTGAGGTTCTTCAATTTTTATAGTTTTTTTCCTTTGCCCTAAGGGAAGAAGGGAGGGGGAAGGGGTTGTTACTGTAAGTTTGGGTTGTGGCAGGGAGCCAGGTCCGAAACATTACAGGTAATTAACCTTATTGAAAGGTTAATTAATTTACTCATTATATGATGTAGAATTTCTGCCTTTGTAAACATACATTTTGGTATTTAAAAGAAAAACAAGCATGGATATAATTTAACTATTAGAGCTACAGAACCAACAAGTCTTTCTCCTCTAACTGTACTCTGATAATGTCATGTTACTGGGTCCCATAATCCACTGGTTCACTTGCTGATTTAAAAATAAACCACAGGAAAATTAAATCAATAGAAATTAGAAACTGAGTTTCTCAGGAAACTGAGAAATCTACCTGCTTGGATTCTAAAAGGATTTGTTGTACTTAGGTGATGTAGTAGAAGCAAATCTTCAAAATAATTGCACAAATTCTCAGGTGTAAAGTGATATAGCATCTCTTGTGCCTTTCTGTATTGTACTCTATAAGTTTGTAAAAGTTGACTAGAAGATAGCCTGGTCACTTGGAGTCAGATCCACCATATACAGCAGTCCCTTTCAGTCAACATTTTTATGATTCCGTTACTCCATGGATTTCTACAACCTATGATCTAATACCTATTTATGGTGGGAGTTACTTTATACTTTTGGATGGTAATTCCTTGATAGATTTGATTTGATACAATTACCTGATATAACAAAATTTTTTCACACAAGCATAAACTTCAGCAAAAGTTCATTTTGGATAATTCAGCATTTACTAGTGACATAACACTGCATCAAAAATCAAAACTGGTATTTTTATTTCTTAAATTAATTTTGCACTCATATAATTAGTATTTTTAGTGAATTTTATTTGATCTTTTCCTATGGTAACATATTATTTACTGTCTGTGAGTAGTCAGCAAATACTTATTCATATGTAAGAGCAAAAAATGGCATCACTTGTAAATCATAAAACATCAGTAGTTTTGTCTTTTGCGATCATGGAGTGGTTTACAGGGCACCAGATCTTTCCATTATGGGAATGGAGCTGCTACCCCAAAAGCCTGCCAGGTCCACAGATAACAGCAGCAGCCAATCAAATGCTGCAGTCACAGGTTTTTGCCTTAGAAGGAAGTTTTGCCTTATAAGGAATGTTTTCATGTTTTTGTAAGGCTTTAAATAGGCTAGGTTCTTTCAATAGTTATCTCAGTTCCTCTCCCTGTTGAGTCCATGCTCAGTCCCTCACCCCCTTCTGAGATGGTGTCAATGAGTCATCAAACAGTAACTATGAATCAGGTTTAGAACCAAAATTTGCATTTGGCTTTAGTAAAAATTTCTCCAATTTTCTTCATAAAAAATAATTGCTGGATTTGCACTATGGATTTGGCTCAAATTTGGCAACAAGCCTAAATTCTACATCAGGCAATCCCTGAAGATGTCTCATTAGGTTTACAGAGATATCTTCTATAAACTTACTTCCTAGTTACCAATCTGGACCTGAATAAAACTATTCATGTTAGTTGTATATATTGTTAGTATCTGCATAATAACTTGTCGTATGATTTAATGTTGTAGGTGTTGGTCACCGTTCTGGTATGATGTTAAATATAGGGGGTAAAGACTGGACAAGATAGAGTTTTGTCAAGTCTCTAAAAGGGGGCACTGATGCCTCAGGATTTTTAGGATTTTTAGCTTTTTGTAGATTTTAGTATAGCAGTATAGTCTCTCACACTTTAGAATAGTAGTTAACACTTACCAAACCCTATTCCCCACTTCATTTTCTAAATTCTTTAGGCTTGTTTAGGCGCCTTTCAAGGCAAGACTATAGTAAACACATTTTGTTTAAGAACATAAGCACCCCAGGTCTGAACAACAGGGTGTTGTTCACAGATACCATCATAGTCAAAGCAACCTTCAAGCCTGGAACCTTGGAGAAGCTCCAAAGACAGTACATGCAGTGAAGAAGGGGAAGATGAGGAAGAAAGGGGTTGTGGTGGGTTGACTTTGGCTGGATGCCAGGTGCCCACCCAGCTGCTCTATCACTCCCCAGCTGGACAGGGGAGAGAGTAAGGTGAAAAAAAGCAACTCATGGGTTGGGATAAGGCAGTTTATTTAAAGCAAAAAGTAAAGCGGAAGCTTGCGCACCCAAAAGTGAAGTGAAAGATAGCAGGGTTTATTCTCTACTTCCCATGAGCAGCGATGGCCACTTCTGAGAAGCAGGGCTTCAGTACGCATGACGATTTCTCAGCAGGCAACCATTGGAGACAATGAATGCCTCCCTTCCTGCTCCTTTTTTTGGCAGTAGCCAAAACACTGATGTGTTACCAACACCTTTCTTTTGGCGGGGAGGCACCAGAGACATACATACACGATCTATGAGATCTAAAATATGTCCGATTTATTAGGATAGCTCAGGGTTTTTATAACATCTGTACTCAGGGTCTCGTGACAAGAAGCATACAATTGGATACAGGCTACTGTCCAGTTGTAAACATCCATTACAAATACCTTTATAATTGGTTATTAACAGATAACAAGGCAATAGTTTACTTTAACGAACTCCACCTTCTTCTTGACACCCATTTTTCTTTGTTCTCGAAAAGACACCTGCAGCCATCTTGGGACCTATAACCTATAGTACCTATAAAACTATGTAAAAGTTTATAAAAGTCTATAAAAGTACCACACACAATATAAATTGCTCACACATTCATTATGTTCCTCCCACACCTTTCTAGCTACCAATGCAAAGCAGAGCACTGTGAGGGCTACTGTGGGGAAATGAACTCCAGCTGAGCCAGACCCAATACAGGGGTCTTAGGACCTCCGACTCAATTCTGGGGAGGCATGCCAGGGGGGAAGATTTGGGGAGGATCTGGGGGGCAGATAGTTCTTGGATTGGATGGATAACACTATAAAATTTTAGAACCACTGGACACAGGCGCACGCCTTTGTACTCTGTGGCCAGAAGGCCTTCATTAAAAGAGCAGCTCCCTATCTTATCTAATATTGTCTGGAGAGTCTTTTTCTCCTGATGATTTTAGGCAACACCAGCAGGACCAGGGAAATAATTGTCCCCTTGTATTTAACACTGATGAGGCCCCACCTCGAGTGCTGTGTCCAGTTCTCGGCCCCTCGCTAAAGGAAGACATTGAGGTGCTGGAGTGAGTGAACTCTGAACCAGTGTCCAGAACAGGCCAAAGTCCACCCTCCAGAAGTTCAAGGTAGAGCCACCCCCTCACCTCTCTTTCCTTGTTGGTCCCTTCTGAAGAGTTTATAGCCATCCATGGCAGCACTCCAGTCACGCGAGTCATTCCATCATGTTTCCATGATGGCAACTACGTCATAGCTTTCCTGCTGCCCAATGGCTTCCAGCTCCTCCTATTTGTTACTTCCTAGTTAGAGCATCTGGGACCAGTTCATCACTGTGTGGGTGTAACCCAAACTGTGTATTCTACACCCTTTATGTCATTTCCCAGAAACTGTTAACAATAGACCATTTGCAGCAGCTGCCCAGAGCACACCTGACCCCTCAGGCTATAAGCTGGGTGTTAAGAGGCCTGTGAGATAGGAGGATGTTCCTGTCCTCACACCCACAACTCACAATCACCTATTGTGGAACTCCCTGCCCTGGGGGAGGTGTTGGACATTCCTGCCTGAACCTGTGTATATAATCTTGGGGTCTTAGGACTTCTGGTACCACTCGTGGGATCCAGAGTAGGACCAGAACCTCAACCGAACTGCAAGCACCACTCTCGACTGGAGTACGACCACTGCTCTCAACTGGACTGCGACCACCACTCTCAACCAGACTGTGACCACCACTGTCGTTGTTTGTGAGGATGACCATAATAATAAAACTGGGCACCAGATGATGACGGCCTAAATTCAGCTTTTATTCTCTTCATCCTGAATATTACATCTTGTCTTCACACAGCTGCACTCACACACTGTCCCTGTAGAATCTTACATAATAACACTATTCTTAGCTCTATTATCTATAATTTACCACTAGCCTTCACATATGATTGGATGTTCACCTCTTATTTACATTCTTTTCCATGCTGCTAGGCTGCATGGCCTTGCTGCATCCTCTGACATACCACTACCGATCAGATTATGACCATCACTCTCACCAACAGGTTTTTCCCCCCCTTTTATTTTTGAACTTAGGGGCCCACGTGGGGCTCAGTATGGGGGCCAACAAACACCATTCTGTTCATGCCCCAGGGTGCTGGGTTATACATCTGGGGTTTTGTGGGTTAAAACCAATTGTTCATCTATACAATTGTATTTATTGTATTATTTTTATTAAATTGTAATTCTGATTTATAATCTCTTTTGAGTTGGGTTCATTTCTCCTGCTGGTTTACCTTTAAACCAACACAGTTACCCACACTGCTGCATTGGTGTAGATGCACTTCAGCTGGGCTATTGATTTCACCCTAACACCAGCCTGCTGCCCCCAGGCTCATCTCTATCAAGCTTGGTTTCATCCTGATGCCTCAGAGCTTTTTGGTTTTTTTAATTTTTGTAGATTTTAGAAGTAGTTGTGTAGTGAATGTAGATTTTAATGTAGCTGTATTATATCCCTTTCCCTGCAGTATAATGTTTACACATACCCAACTCTGTTACCCCATTCCATATCAATCCCTCTAAATTCTGTTAGCGTGTTTAATCTTCCTTTCAAGGTAGAATTATAGAAAAACACCCTAATGCCTGGACCAGAAGATATCACACAGACACAGCGACCTTCAAACCCAGAACTTTGGAGGAACTCCAAGGACTGTACGTGAAGAAGATGAAGATGAGGAAGAAGGAGTCCCAAAGACCCCAAATCCAATTCCTGAAGGGGCGTGCTGGGGGCAGAACCGGGGGTGGACAAATCTGGGATTGGATGGACCTTATTATAAAATCATAGAGCCCCCGTCTGGGCAGGCATGTATTCCTCTAGGCCTAAGGACTCATTAAAGGACCAGGTCTCTTTATCTTATCTCCTATACTAAATTGGCCTGGAGTTTTTTTTCTCCGCGGTCTCTTTTAGGCAATAGTTTGGCACTCTGAAAGGCAGAAAAGTGAGACCTGTGACTCCTCCAGGAGAAGCCCAGCTCCTCAGAACCACACACATGGAGATGAGATAAAAGAGCAGTTCCTTTGGGGTAATTTTGCTATCAATTATAAAGTGAGGTTTTCTCCAGAAATTGGGAATACAATGGGGCTGGGAAGTGAAGTGACATGAGCCCGTGTTGTTGCAAAAGTTGGTGTTTTCCCAGTCTATGGGCAAAAAGTGTTTCACCTGGGTGTGTGAGAAATATCTCTAATTAAAATTTCAAAGACGGCCAAATAAAGTGAAACAAAGAACTTTAATTACAACCCATTGGATGCATCGGCCTCATGACCAAGTCCAAGCACCCCGAGAATGGGAGGGACAAGTCCTTTTAAAGTTTCTTGATTTACATAACCACTCCCTTGCTCCTCCCATGGCGAGCCCCACTCCTTTTCTTCTTAAAAAGGTGATATAGACCCTCTTCTTGGATTCAATTGGGTCTCTCAGGACCGGCTTGCACTTCCCTTTGCCAGTCCATTGGTTGTCTTAACTGACCTATCAGGTTGTTTCCGTGTCCTGGCCGCGTGGTCCCTCGGCAATGAGCCCTGGCTGGTCTCATTGTCTTACAGGCTTCCCGACTCGTCTCTATACCATAACTATAGGCAACAGCAACAAGTAGCTGCAAGCAGACTATCAGTACCTGACTACTAAATAACTTTCCAACCCCCCAAACAATACAGCTTCCAGGCATCTTGACATGAGTAAACTCCTGCTTGTAATAAAACTGCCTTATTTATTTCCTACAGACGGGCAGTTTGACTGGCCCGGGACGCTTAAAGGGGAGTGGGTGGAGGACACCTCCACCTCCCCACCAGCACAGCTTTGGTAAAGGTAGGGCAGGGACGGTAGACAGTGGACCGTACCATTGTGTTTACTCAGGGGATTTTGTGATGGCTTTGTACAGCTGGAAGGAAAGGGGGGATGCCTTTCCACTTTAAAGTAGTCTGTCCTGGCCTGAAGTAATTTTTGGCATGCGGAAAGTAGGGCCCGTTTGGTATTCCTGAGTTCCACGGATTTGAATCCCATGCTGGAAGATTTAGCTGTAATTTTTTCCTGGCTTTTATAAATCACCCGGAATGGAGGATGGATATGGTGGCCCAGACAGGGCTCTGGAGAAGAGCCTGTTCCAGCTGAAGGTCGACGATGTCTACGACCATTTCTCCTTTCCTCTCTCTTCTTCTCTCTTTCTTTACCCTTTCAATATCTTTTCTTCTTTTACTCTTTTCCTTCTCTTGTGGGGAACTTAAAACCGATGAATTGCACTTTACTAAAGCTAGTATATTGATTGGTTTTAGTGAGTGTTTTCTGTGGAATGCATTTTTGTGCTTAATGTTTTCAGGAAATATTTTTTCTTGGTTGTATTTTACTCCTGTAAAACCTTTTGCCAAAATATCTTATGTCCCTCACTAAATTTGAAACAGGAAGAGTTAATCGAAACACTTTTACTGTAAGCCCATAAGAGCCCCTTACCCCCCTGTACTACTTACAGGAAGGCTATGTTCTGTACTGAGGGCATCAGACCTTAAAGGAACCACATCAAACACTAGACAAAGAACTCAACACCCATAAATCTCATCCAGAGGAGCCAAGGTAGACATTTGAATAGGTGAAGTAGGCCTGGAGCAAAGGTTTTCTTCAAGCCTGGACGATCAGAACATAGAACAATGAAAAGGACAGAAGGTCACGAAGGTCACCCGACGATGAGGAGTAAATTCAAGACCCCATGACGAAGTAAGGCAGGATCTCCCACCATAATATTCCTCAAAATAGAGACTACGCCTCAAACTCTGCCCTGACTCCACCTGCTATGAATATTGTAATCTAATGATGCAATAATATGAATATGCATGTGATTATGTTGCAATTGTGATTAGAAACTGTATAAATTGCTTGTTTTCACTTGACCACTTTGGAGCTCTTATTGCCCAGCCCGAGCTGGAGAGCTACCCTGACGTCGCAATAAATAAATACCTTACTGTTTATAGGCTTAAAATTCTGCCTTTCAGCAGTTTTCTTTTACCTGCCTTTTTTTTGGGCATCAAATTAAAAGAATTTCTCTTAGAGAAGAGTGTGACACTCTGGATGCTAATTCGAGGTTGTAACAAACCAAAAGGCTTTTAAAAAGTCTTAAATAAAATGTAAACACTCTGGGTACCATATGGCTTAAAATCCAGAGTGCAACAACCTGTCCAGAAGGGAAAAAAGGATTCTAGCCTATGAGTTGGCGGGGTTGACTGGGAGGGTTTTAAACTAGGTTTGAAGGGGGAAGGGGATGTTGCCTAAAAGAGACCGTGGAGAAAAAATCTCCAGGCCAATTTAGTATACGAGATAAAGAGAGCTGGTCCTTTAATGAGCCTTTAGGCCTAGAGGAATACATACCACGCTCTCCAGTCCTTAGGATGTTTTTCTATAATTCTACCTTGAAAGGAAGACTAAACACACTAACGAAATTTAGAGGGATTGATATGGAATGGGGTAACAGAGTTGGCTATGTGTAAACATTATACTACAGGGAAAGGGATATAATACAGCTACATTAAAATCTACATTCACTACACAACTACTTCTAAAATCTACAAAAATTAAAAAAAACCCAAAAAGCTCTGAGGCATCAGTTCCCCACTTTGAGATGGACCAAACCTCCATCTTGTCCAATCTCTACCACTTATACCTAACATTATACCAGTAAGATGACTAATACCTACATCATCAGTTTATGTAATGAGCTATTATACAATCACTAACTATGTATATCACTAATATAAACAGTTGTTTTATCCAGGTCTAGTTCAGTATCCATGAAGTAAGTTTATAGAAGATATCTCTCTAAACCTAACAAGACATCCTCAGGAATTGCCCAATTTGGGATTTAAACTTGTTGCCAAATTTCAGCCAAATCCATAGTGCAAATCCAGCACTCACTTTCATGAAGAATATTGGGTGCATTTTTACTAAAGCCAAATGTAAATTTTGGTTCTAAACCCAATCCATAGTTACTGGTGGTATTAGACAATACATAGAGAAAAATAGTTCAAACATAATTTTAACAGTTTGTAACAGTTTCCATTTTTCCACTTGTCTCAGGATGTTCCTGAGGCCTTTTTCCCTCTGAGTAGCAAATCCAGGGTTCTTTGCCAACAACTCTGACCACGATGAAGATGGTCAGCAGAACTTGAAACAGTTCTTTTGTTTGGCTTGCAGGGGTTTCAATCCTGCTGTTTATCATAGGCTCAGCTTCTGGGCTGGAACAGATGAACAGGGATGTCCATTCCCATAGGTCTAGATGACACAATGAATCTCTGCAGTTCCTGCAAAGTAGAGTCGAGAACCATCAAAAAATTTTGTAGATTAATCTTCCCTTATGTGAACAGGGATCATGTTGTTTTCTGCCTTGGACTGTATGTGGATCTTGAATATGGCCATAGACAAGGCCTGAACCCACATCATAGATGTTTCCTGATAAACCCTTTTTATTTGTGGTTTGTTAGTCGATGAAGTGTGACTCTCTGTCTGATGACAATCTCATAGGAACTCCAAATCTTGGAATCCCTGCATCTTGACTGTGTGAGAAGAACTTTAGCTTTTATAATATTAAGTGATTAACTGCCAGTCACAGATCTATAGGCCAGTTAGGAGCTTACCAAAAGCAGGCTGCGTCTGAATGCAACACCAGACAGCACCCTGGCAGTGCCAGTAGCTCATCACAGAGAGTTTGCACTCTCCAGACAGATTCCAGGTCTTATCGGGGCAGGTCATCCTGCCACAGTCTGCCCCAGACTGCAGTCAATCATCTTTACCTCATGGAGTGGCAGTGCAGGTACCTCTTGCCTACATAGATAAAAGCATCCTCATGTATTGGATTAGGTGCACTCATGTATATGTGAACACCAAAAAAACAGCTGTATTACAGTGAAGCTAGGAAACAATCTAAGCAAACCATTTAAATGATCTAAACAAATCATCCCACCAGCTATGTTACCAGTTTGTCTCAAAGATTGCAGGCAAGATGCAAATCAGGTCTCAGGGTCCCATGGGAGGGTCCACAGAACCAGTGCTGTTGCAGTGCTCCCTTTGGGAACTCCCCTGCAGTTCATCACAGGGATGGGGCCAGAGCAAGTCTCAGGCAAGTTTCTCTTCTGAGCTTCCCTTCTCACTGTTGCAAAAAGTGTCATTCCTGGTTTTCGACTACTCCTGGACTCTGTTGCTATAGCAACGATTGCGAGCCAGGAGCTCGAGTAGGCAGGGCAGTGCCCTGGAGTGGTCAAGAGCAGGACTATTCATGCCCACGCCGCCTTTTCCCTCTCCGAGATAGAGAGCTGTTTGACCCGGTCGATGGCTCCGCCCATGGCGGCTTTGGGGCTCCGAAACTGGGCTTCTCAAAGCTATGGGGGCAAACCGAGAGTGTCAGGGCGAGCGTGGGGGCAATCAAGCCGCCCTCGGTAACCGAAGCAGCCGTTTCGCCACTCACTGCAAAAGCGGTGACTTCCCCCAGAGGGTCAGCGGCAGTTCCACTTGTAACAGCCCTCACTCCGTCTCCACTCGCCGCAGCAGAAGCGGCGGCTTCACTTTGTGAGAAACAGTGTCTCGAAATATTCCCCAATTTGTGAGAAACAGAGTCTCGAGATATAATTAATTTTCAAATTGGAATTTATTATATGGTAAAAGCAAACAGAGCTGGGTGTACAGACAGGAAATCCTCCTGAGTCTGCCACACCTGATACAGGGTACGAGTCCAGTTTTTATTTCAAAACATCCCATACATATTCATTATATCACATGCATATACATTTACATAGCTATTCTGGGTATTCACCATATGTTTATTTTCACAGTTTAGACTAACTGGTTATTTCTACATTAATTTATAAATTCCTATGTCCTTTGAAATAAGGCACCATCATGCTATTTGACCTGATCTGGTTCGGACATAATTCTTGGCTAGGAGGAGAGGGAAGACGATGGTCTGTTTTATGTCTTTATGAGGGTGCAATTAAGTTTTATAATCTGTTTGTTTTCCTTCCCTCCTGGGTTACATTCACCCATTTGACACGAATAACCTGTATTTATTACAACCAGACACCATATACTAAAAGTTCAAGTGGTTCCAGCATGGATATTTCATAATAAAGTATTACAGATGGAGATCGTTAGCCCTGGAAGGCAATCCATCTACGTCCTGAGGACCTCGCTGCCACCGTCCAAGCGTGCTTGGCCCCGGCAGATGAACCTCAGGATTAAAGGGTGGGCTCAGTTCCGCGCACACTGTGTCTCACCTAAAAAATCCAATGCGCAGGCTGGAAGGTGGAAAGACCTTCCCCGATTCTTCATTCGCGAAGACTGGCCATTTACTTTATTACACATAGCTGTGTAGTGGTTTAACCTTGACTTGGTTCCAGGTTCCCACCAAAGCCACTCCCCTCCTCAACTAGACAGGGGAACAGAAAACCTAATGAAAGGTTTGTGGGTTGAGATAGGGACAGGGAGAGATCACTCACCAATTACCATCATGGGCAAAACAGATTTGACTTGGGGTGTAAAAACAATCCCTAGCACAGACCCAGTCACTTTAGGGGCAAGCAACAGAATCAGGTTTATTCAAAATAACAAGGGCTTATATAGGCAGTTTGAACAGTGACATGTCACAACATGTGACCTTAACCAATCACATTCAGGCACTCCACTGAGCATGTGCAATAGAGTAACAGTGGACTACAATTCCCAGAATGCCTTCTGGCATGCTTCCTGTAACATGAACTGCTACATCTCCCCTGTTCTTCTTATTATTGTGACGAGTTACAGAACAGTACATTTTCAAACCTTTTTCTTAAACCTTTCTTAACATAAAAAATTCCATTTTAACACAGTAACTTCACCAACCATTTTACCTTTGTAAATCCAGGATTTGCAGTAAGTAGGCTCATTTAAGACTTTTCATCTAAGGGTCTGTGTGTAACTGGTAGAAGCATCAACTTTATTTCTCTGAGGATTTGTATGTAACTAGGTAGAAAACTCAACTTTATTTCAAGGAAAAAGGTTTTTAGGGGATAAGTATTGTGTTTTCAGCTGTCCCCTTGATATGTTAATGTGGCTGAGGTAGTGTTGTTATATGAGTGTAGCTTATTCAAGGCATATTTGGTATAAAGTGCTTTTGAGTTCACACACATACATATGTCCACACAACTTTTCACATTCATACAGGCAGCTGCCTCAATCTCTCTCCATTCATGCATACTTAAGATTTTCATTATGCCTCTGCATTTCAGCCACACAGTTTAGGTTTAGTAGTAGTCATTAGTTGTGTGTTTCTTAGTTTGTCATTTCTAGTGGTCATGTCTGGTGATTGTACCTGTTCTGAAGAGGAATTAATATGAGACCTGACAAACCAAAATGGTATCTATTCTGATTTAGTACCTGTTTATGCACATGTATATTCTCTTCCTCCCTTTCTTTTGGTTTTGAAACATATGTTTTGTGTGCGATGTGCTCTCCTGACAATAGCTTGTTTTATGGGTGAGTGAGGTATGCCTTTGGAATGAAAAATTCCCCAATCTGTGAGACATGTTTTGACTTTTGAGGAACAATATGCAGAACTGTTTTCTGTCTTTATGGTTTTTGGAGTTCCCAAAGTTGCAAAACAACTAAGCCAGTGTCTAATAACATCCCTTTTCCCCAGTGCGTACAGTGGCATTTATGTATATAGAATGTGTGTCGACTGTGTCAGGGACATACTTTAGCCAACCAAATTCAGCTATATGAGTCACATCCGTCTGCCAAATTCCATTGGCTGTTATGCCTCGGGGATTAACCCCTTCTTTAGACAGCAATGGGGCAATTTGCTGACAGTCAGGACATGACATGATGCTATCTCAAGCTTGATTCATGGTGAGTTGGAACTGCCTTTGTAGGGAATGTGCATTTTGGTGAA